AATTTCTTTTTTCTTTTGTGTTTTGACAGCTTGAAGGTCCATGTGTTTTGCAAATTCAAAAAATTCGCAATGTTGCTGCACCAAAGGATAACGAAGAATCTCAGGCTGCGCCAAGGATGCTGCGATTGCAGATGACTGATGGTCATATAAGTTGCACAGCGGTAGAGTTTAGTTGTATGTCAAAAATAAGGTGATTGGCACTTTATTTTGTATATTTGCTACAGAGTGTTTGAAGGATTCGTTTTAAGAACTTTGAAAAGAAGGAATTAACTCTGAATTGCATGTTGTAACTTTTCAGATGAAATTACAGAGCTTTGCAGTTCTGCTTCAATGGAGTTAGTTACTTATTCGTTCAATGTTAATTATAAAAACAAAAATTTAAGGTATTTTTGCATGAAAAGTAATCTTTTCAGTTATGTCAGAAATTTCAGGTCATTGTTCAGAACAAATAGAATTTTAAAAAATGTTACTGTTTCTTTCTTGATAGCTCAGTAGCTGTGTGTATAATAGTGTGTCACACTATTTTATGCTCTAGCAAAGTTTTATAGGCTAATGAATTTTCTTAGGAAAGGATTGAAGTCAGGAATGTTCATGTGCCATATCACTTCTTAAGATAAGGAGGAACTCCCTAAGGAACAATTTTCCAAATCCTTCTTTTGGCTATTTTCATGAGAGCCTTTTAGAGTCATGCCTAATGGAATGGAGAAAAGCATTGAGAAGGAAGGGAAAATGTCTTCTTTATCCTCAGTGTTCCCATTAGGCCAGTTTCAGTCCTATTTTTCGAGGTGGGAACTTTGACTGGACATTTGCATCCCCCACCCTCCCCATATTTTTCTCTTCTTGGTTATTGTATATGTTCTTATCTGATGCTCTGGGCCCTTTGAGCTTTTTCACTTACTGTTAACTGTTTTTCTACTGAGCAAGCATTTATCAAGTATTTAGCATCCACTATGTTCCACTTCCTTTCTCCAGCGCTGGAGGTACAAAGGTAAATAGAGTTCAGATTTTGCTTCCCAGTGGCACATATGCTAATGAGGTAGGCACATAGACATACAATTATTAAAAGAAATATATCAACTGAAAGAACCAGGAGTCCAGAACATTACCTGGAGTGGGACCTAAAATATGAGTAGGCATTTTGAGAGAGGTGAGAGAGGGAATAGCACAGACAAAGACACAGTGTCCTGGCAATGGGAGAGTGGGAAGTTCCATTTGTTGGAGCTTCCGTGATTTGGGATAGTGGTATCTGGGAGGAAATGTGGTAGGTTGAGGCCTTGTACATCATCCTCAGTGATTTCCCTTCTTTTTTTTCTTTCAACTTGTGTCTGCCTCTGATAAGGGAGGCCTCCTTCTCAGAAGATATATGTTTGTCTAAAATGTTGCTTTGTATATTTGAAGAGGGATTTATTCACTTTGTGATTATGTTGTCTTCTTTTTGAAGAGTAGGAGGAGTCCTACTTTTGTGGAGAAGCAGCTTTTCCTCCTTTGATAAATTCAGTCAGAACCCCTACAAGGGAGTTCACAGATGACTCAGAAGGAAGACTTGCTGTATAATGGCTCATTTTTTGGTTTTATGGTTGATATTTCTCTGAGGTAAATGAAAATACAAGGTTAACCTAGAGTGGAGGGCCCTGCTGAGTGCTTTTTACTGTTATCTCTTGTTGAATTTATTGCAGCTTGACAACTGAAAAAATTATCGTCATGTGCTCATTCACTCATTATTGAAACAGCATGTCTACTTTTGGTGCTATAAATAATGACAGCTTACAAAATTGTTCTTACATATGAACAATTTGGAAGACTTTTTAAAAAATGTTTGGTTAGTAGTTATCTTAGAAGAAAGGTGAAAGAACTCTAGATAGGTTAAACCAGGTGCTGTTGTGGGATGTGTTGCCTCATATGGGCTTTGC